CCATACATATAAAACGTGATCAGCGAGGAAGCTTTAAGGACAATGGGAGCTACAAATAAACTTATACTTTCAATAAAAAAGAAACAACCCAAATTTGTAGGGGTATAGTATTAGAGAATGATCCCTTTCTGAAGTTAAGCAAAGTATTGAGATATAGGAAAATGTCTCTAGAAACTGAATTTCTATGTAATATCTAATTTCTTCTATAGCAGTGAGTACTGGACAATCGCTTTCCCGATGAAGAAAAGACATTAAGAAACACAGATGTGGTTCTACCGACGAATGCTAAGAATAACATGGATGGATCATTGGTGCAACAAGGAAGTTTCTGAAAAAATGAAATCTGCTACGACGCGAGAGGGACTGGAGAAGTTAACACTCTCAGGGCCTACAGAAGGCAAAAAAGCAAAGAACCAAAGGAACAGGGCCAATGGGCAATGATAAAAGTTCAAATGTTAATTCGAGCAAGAAAATACCGGAAGTTGTGGAGAGCCATAATCACTTATGTATTGAAGTGATGTGATACATAAGAGACGATTTTACAGACTGGAAATGAACGATACAGAAAAAAGAGTTTTCTTTTTATAATATTAACCACTCATTTTCTGCGGCTCACACTAATCCATCTTCCCCGTTCACGTTATGTTTAAGTGTTTGATCTGAAGAAATCTTAAGCGAAGTTGGCCGAAACGTCTTTAGAAAACAAGTAGGCAAATTAGAAAATAAAATAAAAAATAAGAGAACAGAATTCTTGAAAAAATAATAACATCGAATTTATGCGTTGACGCTTATTATTATCATTTTAGCGCTTCCTAGTTCGATGGTGCTGGGATCTGCTTAATTATGGCTGGTTGGTGATTTAGTAAGTGTCGGCAATATTCTCAACATATCGCAAAAACAAATCCTCGAATTGGTGACTATTCGTCGCTTCAACAGTTAATTCAAGAAACTTTGATCTCAGGCCTGCAGAAAAATTTGATTTCCAAACTATTCGTTTAGATCTTTAGTGTGTAAACGGAAATGTCTCAATCTGGGGAATTTTTTTTTTCGGATGATCAAGTCTTTTTGGGTAGCATCTTGCAAAGTGGGGTGGAGTAGTTAGTGAGAATGATTCATAATATCAACCTGCATTGTCTTCCTTCACAACCGGACTGCAGTTGCTTAAAGAACTAGAATTACCGATCTTCTTATATTGCTGTCTCCCAGTGTGACCGGACTGGGGCTAAATTTATAATCAAAAACTCCTAATTTATCTGTTTCACGTCACATCAGGTTACGAGTCCCGTAACTCATTAGGGTCATAGTGTTGTATATGTACTGAAGCAGTAAACTGGTTACTACCTCAAGGCAAGAAAACCTAGTCCGTTGGGCAGGTCGATTTTGGAAACATGGTATTGCACTCAATTTGAAAGTTGGGGTTTGACATGATAAATAACGACAAACAATATCGTTCCCGTTTTTTGTGGAGACGAGTTTCAATATTAATTTTAGCTTAAAAACTGTAGCATTGGAATTTCTTTCCGATGACCCGGGAAAGCCTTACAAAATTTATAATTTACTGAAGCTTTACAAATTGTATATGGACAAGATGTATTATTGCTAAATTATTGTGCCATCAAATAAGACCTTCATTTACTTCAAAGGGACGTTATACTGAACAATTTACCTATATTATGATGTAATATGTTATACAATGCAGTAGTTTTAGTGTGATTTTCAATAAACAATGCAAATTTAAAACATTTTGTCTTATAGTTTGTGACGAGCATTATTATGATGTTATATACACTTTTATCTATTTTTTTGCTTGTTTTTATTACTTATACTCAAACAAATGATCTAATAAATCTTATTCATTGAGTAACATTTTTTGTAATCTGTTACAATTTTTTACACAGTTTTTACTTATCGAATACAGGAAAAAAAAATTCATATTCTGCTTATGGTGATTCATAATTAGAATTCTGGTTTGAATATATTTTCCATTCAATGTATCTAATACAAAATATATAAGAATTATTTGGATTTATTCTTAAAATAGTAAAATTTTTAAATCAGTTTGTAAGAAAAACCCGCGGAAATTGAGTATTTTTGTACATTTTTCAAATGAATTTAAATATAAATGCTCAAAAATGGGAAAAATGTATGCATTTATTTTTTGATTTAAGTACATATCACATCAAACACTCGCTTTTCCAATGTTGATTTTTGAAAGAAAAATGAAAAATCAACCTGCTCTACCCAGTCAGCCCATAACTCGGCTATCATTTTTCAAACTTCTCTAAAAGTTGATATGTTTAAATCCTCTATCAGACTTTCGCGTGCTCATTGGTTGAAAAACCTCTAACCACTACTCTTAGGGAAGGGTGAGGGTCCATAATGTCTCCGTCACCAACTTGATTTTCTAAATTAAATGATATTACTATTCAGATTATAATTTTTTTCAGTATCTATTTTTTTTTTTTTTATCTGCGCGTACATTGTTCAGCTTAAGCAATTGTTTATTTAGTTGGTTGGTTGATTGGATGTCTTTTGTTTCGTATTTTTGTTGTTTGTTTGTTTGTTTGTTTTTGTTTGTTTTTTTTTCCATGAATTACTTCATCCTCCGGTTCGCCAGGTATTTCTGCCCAGTGTTTAACTTTCTAATCCAATGTGTCCTCTCTCATGATCATTTTGTTAAGCAAATTCTAAAAAGGAAGGATCAACTGCACATTCAAGATAATTCTGTTTTTTTTTTTTGTTTTTTTTTGTTGTTTTTTTTAGACTGATGATTGCCTAAATCATATTTTATAAGTAGTAGTGGCGAAAACAAAAGTTAAAAGTGGGGGAAGTCTAAATCAAATGTTATAAGTAGGGGGCTAATGCCAGATGTTAAAAGCGGATTGGCTAAATCAGATGTGACAAGTAGTGGGGAACTAAATCAGAAGCTGAAAGTGGGGAGCTAAATCAGAAGCTGAAAGTGGGGAGTTAAATCAGAAGCTGAAAGTGGGGAACTAAATCAGAAGCTGAAAGTGGGGAACTAAATTAGAAGCTGAAAGTGGGAAGCTAAATCAGAAGCTGAAAGTGGGAAGCTAAATCAGAAGCTGAAAGTGGGAAGCTAAATCAGAAGCTGAAAGTGGGGAACTAAATCAGAAGCTGAAAGTGGGGAGTTAAATCAGAAGCTGAAAGTGGGGAGCTAAATCAGAAGCTGAAAGTGGGGAGTTAAATCAGAAGCTGAAAGTGGGGAACTAAATTAGAAGCTGAAAGTGGGAAGCTAAATCAGAAGCTGAAAGTGGGAAGCTAAATCAGAAGCTGAAAGTGGGAAGCTAAATCAGAAGCTGAAAGTGGGGAACTAAATCAGAAGCTGAAAGTGGGGAGCTAAATCAGAAGCTGAAAGTGGAGAACTAAATCAGAAGCTGAAAGTGGGGAGCTAAATCAGAAGCTGAAAGTGGGGAGTTAAATCAGAAGCTGAAAGTGGGGAACTAAATCAGAAGCTGAAAGTGGGGAGTTAAATCAGAAGCTGAAAGTGGGGAACAAAATCAGAAGCTGAAAGTGGGGAGCTAAATCAGAAGCTGAAAGTGGGGAACTAAATCAGAAGCTGAAAGTGGGGAGTTAAATCAGAAGCTGAAAGTGGGGAGCTAAATCAGAAGCTGAAAGTGGGGAACTAAATCAGATGTTAAAACGATGGGTAAATCAGAAATTAACGTATAAAGATTCCTGATTCACTATTTTTATATGACCTGCTCATAAAATGTTATTTTAGGTATATTAAACCTACAAGAATGTTTATGACCATATCACCGTCGAAGCTGGTCCGTACCTAGATAGATGAACGCTTGGGAATACCAGGTGCTGTAAGCTTGAACTGGAAGAATTCTTCGGAAAAGATTGGATACAGCCTATCAGGGAAAACTGAAAAATGGCCGCTTTATTTTATTGATGTGAACTGAAAATAAATTTTCTTTCTTTCTATCTATTTATCTAAATATTTATTTCTATTTGTCTGTCTGTCTATCTGGCTATCTATCTCAATTATTTCTTACATTGTCAAACACTGTCTTTTCTTTTTCTTTACTTATAATCGCACTCTTCTCAAAGTGTTGAAAAATAGATACCTGGAAACACCCTTAATCAAAGATTTCTAACAGGGCCCCACATCCCAAGGCATCTGCTATTTCATCAAAACCTGTATCCATATCACTCACATTTGGCTGTGATGCATGTGCTTCGTATACTCTTATTAGACTGGATGTCATGGATGGGCTGGTTGGGCTTCGGATATTTATACCCCACCTTTACTCAATAATATTAAAAAGGAATTATTTTTAGAACACAATAAACCAGATATCGTCCTCCAGGATAAACAGAAAAAAGATTTGTTTCCTGATAGAATATTGAAAAAATATTGGAAGAGTTACGCCAATCATTTTGTTTAATAATAATAATAATAACAACAATAATAATGATAATTTTATTTCTTTCTATTTCTCTAAATATTTATTTCTATTTCTGTTTATCTGTTTATCTATCTCAGTGTTTTCTTACATTGTCAAACACGCTCTATTCTTGTCTTAAACCACGCTCTTCACTTAACTGTGGAAAAATATTGGATGAGTTACATCAATCATTTTGTTTAATAATAATAATAATAGTTGGTGTGGTTGTTAGTTTAAATTATAAGATGAGCAAGGCGACTTGGGGGTCACATCTAGATACTTGGAAACACACTTAATCAGAGATTGTCTGAGCGGACTGGGTTACTCGACCTGAAGCTATTTCTAACAGTGATGTGCTATTTCATCAAAACCTGTCTCCACGCACATTTGGCTGTGATGCATGTGCTTCGTATACTCTTATTAAACTGGATGTCATGGATGAGCTGGTTGGGCTTCGGATATTTATACCCCACCTTTACTCAATAATATTAAAAAGGAATTATATTTAGAACACATCAAACTAGATATCGTCCTGCAGAAGAAAAAAAAACTTGCTTCCTGGTAGAAATCTCTTGCCCATTTCACATGAGAAATGAAAATAAGAAAAAGAAGAAAATCGACAACTACAACGATTTAAAGTATGAAATACTGAATGTTTGTTTTTTTACAGGTGATCTCCATTTGCATACATGGATTTGTATAGGGAACGGCAGAAATACATCCCATATATACCTCCCAGAAATACCTCCCACAAAATGGTAAAACATTATAGTGTCAATGATGTCTTCATGTAGCTAATGACTTACCATTATGTACGAAGTATTTCTGGAAGGCATATGTCTGAGGTATTTCTCTCGAACCGTGTATAATCATTAATGATCAAATTAAAAATAAACAGAAATGATAAATTTCTAAAATCAAGATTAGTTTTAAACACTTTAGTAACTAATAAATTATATTTTAAAGGAAATGGACTTTGCTTCTTACTAATACAATCTACAATAAAATACTTGAGCTATTTTGACAGTGGGATTATCCGATACAAATAATGACAATATTAAACCAGATATCGTCATGCTGGACAAACAGAAAAAGATTTTCTTCTTGAAAGAAATATTCTGCCAACCAACCTGACATGACAAGTGAAAATAAGAAAAAAACAAAATCAACAAATACAAGGATTTAAAGTGGGAAATTCTGAAAGTTTGGAAAGACTAACCAAGAAAGTAATTGCAGCACAAGTGATCATTGGAACACTGGACTATTGGAGAATAAACATGGTAAAAAAAAACTTGCAGATATTGGATAGGCATTCGTAAATGGAGCCATTAACAAAAGCCTTGCCTACTCAGAACAGGGAGGATTCTTTGGAAAGGATTGGACGCAACCTTTTAGTGAACGGTTTATTTTCTTCAAATTCCCGAGAGGTAGACTGAAAATAAATAAATAAATAAATAAATAAATCTATCTATCTATCTATCTATCTATCTATCTATCTATCTATCTATCTATCTATCTCGGTCTTTTCATATCTATCTATCTATATTATATATTTCTATTTCTGTTTGTATGTCTGTCTGTATATCTCTCAGTCTATCTATAACAATTTTTTTCATTCTTTCTATTTCTATTGGATTGTGATTTGTAAACGGAGCCATTACAAAAGCCTTGCCTGCTCGGAACGGGGAGGATTTTTCAGAAAGGATTTGTTATAGCCTATCAGGGAAAAGACTTCCTTAAAGTGACGAGAGGTGGACTGAAAATAAATCTATCTATCTATTTCAGTCTGTTCATTATCTATCTCTCACAATTTGTTCATTATCTATCTATCTATCTAAATTATTTATTTCTATTTCTGTCTATCTATCTATCTATCTATCTATCTCAGTCTGTTCATTATCTATCTATCGATCTCTCTCTCTCTCTCTCACACACACACACACACACAATTTGTTCATTATCTATCTATCCAAATTATTTATTTCTATTTCTGTCTATCTATCTCAGTCTGTTCATTATCTATCTCAGTCTGATCATTATCTATCTATCTATCTATCTATCGATCTCTCTCTCTCTCTCTCTCTCTCTCACACACACACACACACACACACACAATTTGTTCATTATCTATCTAAATTATTTATTTCTATTTCTGTCTGTCTGTCTGTCTGTTTATCTATCTCAATCCTTTCTTTCTATTTCTATCGGATTGTGATTTGTAAATGGAACCATTACAAAAGCCTGGTCTACTCAGAACAGTGAGGATTCTTCGGAAAGAATTGGATACAGCCAATCAGTGAAAAGAGTTTCTTAGAGTGACGAGAGAGGAGCTGAATATAAACTTCTTGCCATCAACCAATATCTTAATCTGTGCATAATAAGAATAAAAATGAATAAGGTAAAGTAATTGACTAAAATTATCATTGACCTGACGAAGAGTCTGTTTCATCAGACCAAAATATTGCCGGGGTGATTTAAGGATAGAAATGCAAAGCAATCTTTCAATTCTTGGTGACATTCGTGAATTGAGTTATAGAAACGTATGTATGCGCATATATTTGCCTTCTTCTTGTATTGAATAGATTTCAAGAGATCAATGTCTTCCATATTTGAAAAGATATTATGACTGGCGGCTATGAGAATTACATTTTTTTTTTAAATCCTGTTGCTACATGACCGCTGCACTAAAGTTGAATGGCCATAAAATAACAGAAAGCTTCTCTCTGCACACACACATACACACACATACAGATATTTGTATGCGTATATGTGCATATATATTATAGATAGAATATACTGAAATATATAAAAGTGTTTTGGTTTCTTACATACATCTACTTCAAAGCTTATTTCATGAAGGCAGCTAAAAACTTTAGTATATTACTAATATTTTTATTATATATATTTTAATTTATTTCTACAGCATTATTTTTAATGGATACCCATATCAGAGGAGATATTTTGTTTTTATTTATATATTAAACAATGTATTTATTTATTATCATCTACAGGCCTGAATATTCGAGAAAACTTATTAGAAAATTATGCGCTCTCCTGTTTAGTAAAACAATAAAAACAGTGCATCTCTCTCTCTCTCTCTCTATATATATATATATATATATATATATATATATATATATATATATATATATATATATATATATATATATATATATATATATAATTTATTCGAAAAGATGGTGTTGAATATAGAATAGGTTTATTCTATATTCAACAACATTTTCGAATAAATTATATTTGCTCTACTCTGTATTTTGCACTATTTTAATAATAGTATATTTGGTTAATGGAATATATTCCGTATACACCAATCCTATACTTTATATATATATATATATATATATATATATATATATATATATATATATATATATATATATATATATATATATATATATATATATATATAACTGTCATCTCTGGATATTGATATCAATATCCACCTTTATATTTACATACGCTCTATCCCTGATATTGAGCAATTTTAACCCATAAATATAGTATACCTTAAAACTATATTTTTATACACACACACATATATATATATATATATATATATATATATATATATATATATATATATATATATATATATATATATATATAAAAGGACTGCATAGTAATGGATAGTGGCTTGGATTAAGGAATCGCAGAGACGAGTTCGAATTCAGTCGAATCCATTACTTACGTGCTAATACCCTTGAGAAAGGTGTGAATCCTCTTCTTCTCCCTCCAGCTATGGGTAAAATAGCAGGACAGACTGTGTTCTATAGCCTTGGATGGCAACTGGTCTAGGAGAAGGACAACTCTGAATTCAAAACCTGCGGAGGGTCGTTTGGGCACTTAGTGCACCAGGTCTCTGTATTCGGCCCTTCAAAAAGTGTGGATGGCCCTGCACAAAGCCTTCACCACTTATAATCAAATCTCATGTGCCGTTGTCGGGCTGTCGGTTTCCTGGAAACTGATCTGCTTGAACCTCATACGTCGAATCTCGACGGGAGAGTTGACTATATATATATTCTTAAAATACATTTATAAAATGACCTCTACTACCATTGTATCTTATAAATGCATTTTAAGAATATATATATATATATATGATAAAAATATTGGTATAGTGTATGCTATATTTATGGGTAAAGTGCTCAATATCAGGGATAGTGTCTATGTAATAATAAAAGTAGACACTACGGTCAATAGCGAGTGGCAACAGCCTGTTTCATGCTTGACTGCAATCATCGGGCCATAAAAATTGCGTTCAAGCATGAAAGAGACTGTCTCCATACGGTGTTTTCCTGTATCCTGTTGTACCTTTTGTGACATGTTATAAAGGATAGACATATAGAGATTCTGTCAATATTAAATGATTATTTTAAACTGGGTGATACATTTGCTTGTAGAATTTGCAAAGTGGAAGGAAATGAAAAATATATATGACCGGACCATTGAAAACTACTTTAAGTCTATCTTGCACATTTACAAATCTACCATTCGTCTCTGCATTGAATACTGCTGCTATATATGGACTGGTGCTCCTGCTATTCATTTCGACGTTCTTGACCAAATCCAAAGAAGGATCTGTAATCGATCCTGACATCTCGATTTCACTCACTTTCACACCAACGTGATGTGGCTTCCCTCTGTCTTTTCTACAAATATTTTCATGGCAACTGCTTTGACGAGCTTTTTTCCCTGGTACCCCAACTACATGAATTTAAGCGTGCTACTAGATTGGCATTTAGGTCCCACCCATTTACTGTTGAAATAGATAAATGCAACCGCCACTTCTACTCCAACTTCCCTGATAATTACAATCTTCAAAAATTTAAATGCAACGTCAATCGCCATCTTCCACCTTCTTGTATCCCGTTCATCTTTTGTTCTTTCCTCAGTCCTCCCTATTCCAAGTTTTCACTTTCACTTTCACTTTAACTCCCTGTAACCCCCTGCGTATTAGTGACATTCTCGTTTTGCTTGGGATGAAATGATTTTAAAAATGGTTTAAGATATATACAACACACACACACACACAAACACACACACACACAACACACACACATATATATATATATATATATATATATATATATATAAGATATGCCTCATTGAATAATTTAGACAAGTTTTTTTTTCTACTTATTTTCAATAGGATCCTCTTATATTCACGGACAAACTTCTTAGTATCCTTATTAAATGAAGAAAGAAAATTACTATGTTGATACATATACATTTATTCCGAGTACTTTCGAGATTAGGATAATCTCATAATCAAGGTGTTGTTTCGTTTTTTGGGGGGTTTTTTCTAAGACAAAATTGTTGTGTTCATCCGTAAGTCAAATTTTTTTAACTGTGAAGTGAAAAACGCTATGGTTATGTACTGTACGATTTAAATTTAACGATGTAAATTTCAGGAGAAGTAACTAAATTTTGAAATGTCCATATGTTTTGTTTTTTTTTAATATATATATATATATATATATATATATATATTCTAACTGATCACCCAATACCCTGGCCCAAGAGCCACTCATGGTAGAGGGCTACTGAATGACGTTTTTATATGAACGTAAGAGGAGGAGTTTATGAGAATATGCAAAACAGATAACGGATGACCCTAGAATTAAAGAGGTTATGATTGTAGCAACCAATAAAGGATCCACGGGGGAGTCTGTCCAACAAAATAACAGTTCTCGGGAAGAAGCTATTCGAATCGAACTTCTTTCTTACTAATGGAATACGAAAAGAATGGAGTGTACGTGGCAAGGGGTGCCTAGCTGTGAAGGTCTGAACTGGTGGAACTAAGGAATGTAGCTTGTCAGAACATTTTCCATAAAGATATTGATAAAGTAGCAAGAGGCTTGCGTCGTTTCATCTGTGGGAAAGGGATTGTAGAATAGAAAATAAGTCATCATCCACAAGGCCGCTTAAATGCTTTTGGTCTCTGTCAAGGCTGGAAAATAACTCAACTCGGTGTATTGTTTGCTTGACGTTGAAAATCCACTATCCACTACGGCATTTGCAAGTCGGTCATTTATAGACATAACACAGATTAAATCGAAAATGTTACGGCAAATGTACGCCATTTTGGTTTTTTTTACCAAAACATAAAATTTATGTTTGCACGTGCGATACTCTGTCTTCATCAGCCGCCGACCAGGGGTGATATCACGGTTTCGGTGGCTATTTGGCGGAACCGCCACCCTGGCGCCACCAGCAACGTTTGCCACCAGGCAAATTATGAAGATATTTGATAATTGATCGTTTTTTTTCTAAATTCTATCCGTAATGAAATTTTCCTGAATGCGTTTGCCGTTATTGGCGCGCTCGTAAAAGTCATTATAGACGACCACGCAAATGAACTTGCGCATGTTAGAAATCGTGATGTTGCGCGCATTTTATTTGCTTTTTTTTATCTCGACCAAATCCAACTTGACGCTTTGAACAATTTTTTAATGCCATGCGCAACGTTTCTTCAACCAACGGCCAGTGATAATTTTTATTTTTTGTTAAAGGAAATGACCGAATGTCCCAGAAACCCACGACACCCAATCTCAATAGGCATCACGTTACACGTCCAACCATTTTCCATTTCATTCGGCACGCAGTGACTTAATATTGTTTTTATTTTGGTTCGTTGCCATCCACCCTGTTCTCTTCCGAACGGACTGTTAACTCTATTAGAAGACAGTCTTTAAATATATAGCATTTTGCAGGTGAAAATATGTGTCTTGTACGTAAAAGCGATACAAGGAACAGACCATTTTATCAGCATTTTTAAAGATGAATCGTACATGTGCATTCTACTTGGGGTCTGGAATGAACGTGGATGCTAACAGACGTTTCAAACAAGGAGCCTAATAGTAGGCGAGAATTCAGGATCTGTAAAAATGATGAAACTTTACCTATTGATATATTTCAGAGTAGAGGTCAGCTGCCAGACTCAAGTCATCTATATTTTGTGGGTGCATCCATACACGTTTGTATCATTTAATAGATAGATATTTACTAACATTTATAAATAGAATTATATATATATATATATATATATATATATATATATATATATATATATATATATATATATATATATATATATATATATATATATATATATTATAAAAAAAATTTTAACTGATTCTGTTACTTAACAGACTTTGAAGCTTAAACAAATGACGGTTCCGTATAGGATGCAGG